GGGGCAGGGACGAAAAGAAAGTTTCAGAAAGGAAAAAAAAAACCCTAAAATTTTTTCCCACAATAAAAAAAATGGGGTTGGGAAACCCAGCTCCCCGGGGGTTCCTTTTCTTCCCAGGTGGACTCCCCTATAAAACCTCGACAGGGTGGGGGGGAGAAAACAAAAAACTCCGGTGGAGGCCCCAAGATAACCCCCCCCCAAAAGAACCCCCCCCCCCCCCCCACAGAATACGACTCCCCGGTGATAATTTTCGGCGTTTCTGACAAGCCATCGATTTATCGCCGCAGGCTCCTCCGTCTGTCACCGGGGTGATACAACATCTGCCGCGTGGGCATGTGAGTATCCCACACACACACAACATCTGCGTAACTCTCTTTTGGTCGTACCCAATAGCAAGGTATGCAGGAGCCTACTCTTTTGTGTGAGGGGGCAGGACGGATGGCGCACTCTGTGGCCACCGAGTCATGTGCTCAGGAGTTTCGTCACCTCCGTTGAGCTCCTTTGTTTTACCACATTCCGCAGAACCACAAGTCATGAAGTGTTCGTACAGACGTTGCTATCACACCCCAGGATTACCAACCAATCGTGCGGCAGCAGAGGTTCAACTCTACAAGAAGTGTTGTAACACCTTTTTATCACGCCCCCTCATCATCACACCCAAAACACACCCTGTGGGTATTCGGACGTCCTAGCACACCCCCTTACCCCCTCATTTATCACACCCCAAACACACCATGTGCGTGTTCGGACGTGCTATCACACACCCTGGTTTATCACACCCTCTTAAGGGCCCAAGCGAACTGCACTCTATCACCCGGGCTACATAAGATGCCACACCCGGTGATAATATTTGAGTAGTGTGTCACACATTGATAGTAGATCTTTCGGACTAACGCGTTCTGATTGGTCGGGCGTTGTTAGGCGATGGTTCTGGCGGCCGATTCATCTCCAGCGCCCTCTCCCCGTTCCGCATTCCGAGCACGCGGCGCAGCCGCGTGCCGCCCAGCTCGCGGCCGCTAGGCCGTGCTTTGGCCGTGGGTGAGGGTGAGGGTTAGGGATAGGGTTAGGGTAGACGTGGGGTGAGCAACCTAGCCTTGCTCGCGTGAAGAACCTAGCAACCTAGCCTTGCTACGTTCAACATCGGTTAGTCCTAAGAGTTACTATCAATGTGTAACCAAGGCTCTTAATATTTTTAGTATTTTTAAACCCCAAAATGTTATCACCGGGGTGTGTTATCTTGTGTCGTCTACGGTAACCTCTGGAGAACCCGATATTGATGTTTCTCATGTATGTCCGGGCTCACTGCTGTGATGAATTGCCGGGAGCTTTCGGGTGTGCTCCTTACAAGAGAGTAGGGCGCGGAAGAAATCTACGCGAAGTGTATATACTGCTGTAGATAAACAACACGGCCCACAGCATGGCCATCAGCGTGCCCAGGCGAGAGAGAAGGGAGCTCCCCACCAAGACTCTTCCCCGATGAAAGAACACGTCGCATTCCAGCGAACCCGTGCCAATCTACCGAAAATTAATGTTCAGGATGATTATACTCCTGTCCTTTCTGTTGGTGTACAACACCACAAAGCAGAGTATCGTGGTGATGGCCGGCCAACGGCGCTAGTATGGTTGGTGTTGGTGTGATGTGATGGTGGTGGTTGTGGTTGTCGTCTGAAAAAATAAGAACGGTCGTTGTCACCTCTCTGCCCAGCACAGCACTTCCTCGTGCCGGCTCTGAAGACCCAAAGAAGTGAGATTTGCCCAACAGCCGCATCAGATATTTAGTCTGCTGGCCACACGTATAAAACCCCCAACACATCGGTCCCCAATGAACGCATGATACGGCTGTACAAGTACAAGTGTCACGACGAGCTACAGCAGCAAGTAGTGATTTCTGTACAAGGATGACATTTTAGCACTGCTACTTCCTTGGACGTGGCCATGGAGGTCTGGTTGAAGCCTTCCACGGCTTGTAAAAGCGATACAACAAGTATTATAGTATGTTCTGTACTGCTGCTGCTGCTGTAAGCTATGCATGCGTACACCCATGTACAAAAAGATCCAGGCCAAATCAGAGTCATTTTCTGCTCTTGCGTTCGACAGCCATATGCATAGCCTTTTGTACCGAGAAAACAGGAACCTTCCAAATGACACAACAGCGGACGTATGCATACAAATAAAATTCTCCTATGTACCCCGTAAAAGGATATGATGGTTGCTATCGTCGTCGTCATCACGTCATCACCCCTTCGAAACCATTCCGATCCAATTTCCCATGGGTACTTTAAGTGTACAGCAGTAGTACAGCTGCAATAGCAAAATTCCACGGAGGGAGCGTCGGCGACGCGGAGTTGGCGTACAATGCGTTCACAGATATTTCGGCGCGGGTGCTCTCTAGTGTTGTGACAAACGAAAAAAAAAATGTTCTCCCATTATCACAGCTCCATTATCACAGGAACATGAAAGACAGAGGCAGTCGTAACACCACGCGCGCCTCGCGATGACGAGGACATACCCCGTAACCATAGTGCCGCGGCAGCCGGTCGCGCGAGCTATAATACTTAATTTATTTAT